TGTTGTTGATGACTATGTTCAAAAATGTTGCAGAGGTATGAATTATCTCCATCAGCATAAACCACGCCCTATAATCCACAGAGATTTGACACCAAGGTACAGCAAGGAAACAGTATTAAAATGCATTTTGAAGTGAATTATACAGATTGTTCCCTCCCCGGCAACCAATGCTTCTTCTTTGTTCTATAGAAATGTGTTACAGGATGAAGCTGGGAGACTCAAGGTCACAGATTTTGGCTTAAGCAAAATTGCACAGCAAAATGATGTATCTGGTTACAAAATGACTGGACGAACGGGTTCATGTAAGAGATGCCTTTTCACTAAAAACCAAGTATATATCCCTAGCAATTTGGTGCTAGCTCTAATGCTCTTGTCATCTTTGCTAGATCGTTATATGGCGCCTGAGGTTTATCGTCGAGAATCATATGGGACGAGTATCGATATCTTCTCATTCGCTCTGATAGTACATGAGGTGCATTTGCTTTAAACTTTAGAAATCTTATATTCCAGTAGTCATTTATGAAGATGATTTCTTATGGCATATCCAATTTGAGCCTTTCCACTACGTCATATATATTCACAGATTTTGCTTACAGATGTTTCTAGGAGGACCACCTAATCTGGCAGAGGACCCGGAGAAAATTGCAGACAAGCGAGCATATGAAGATTCTCGACCGCCTCTCTTCTCTTATTTGTATCCGGAACCAATCAGGACGTGAGTGTTCTTCGACTACTTTAAATGTTATCCCATAGCAGGTTGTTAACAAGCACAAAAATAAACCTTACTGCTACATACAGTACAAGCATTACTCAAAAAGAGTCTTTAGGAACCTGTCCTAAAAATTTTCTAGCAACCCCAAACAGTTGGAGCTGTCATGCTTCATTTTGCTGCCAATTAGAATCCATTATTCTTGAATTTGGTTTAAAAGTGAGACAATAGCCTCCAACCGAACTCAAATTTAATAGAATCATTAATCTTGAATTGCACAAGACACATTACTCTCTTTCTTAAACAGACATTTGTTTTGCATATGATTATGAAGTAAGCGTTCTCTGCTTTGAATAATTTAGGCTCCTTAAAGAATGCTGGCACCAGAATCCAGATTGCCGGCCAACATTCGAAGAGATCATTTTGCAGTTGGAGACAATTCAAGAGAACTTTCAGAACAAGAAAAGAATGGGAACCTGTATTGGTGCTTGTGCCATCTCATAAGATGGGATTATGACAGACATATGTTTAGTTCTTTTTCTTCTTCTTTGGGTTTGTGTATATAGGCATGTGTGTTACTTTCTGTATAACTTCTTTACAAGAGTGACAACTTATCATATTAAAGTTTTAATTAATTTTGCTTGGCACCCAGCTTAGTATAGTAATTATGCCTTCTCTCTTCCCCACCTTTCCAAATTCTTATAAAGAGTACTAGCTAGACATCCAAAGTTTTCACTGGCTCTCCATCAAAATGTCAAATTTTCAACCCAAATTATTTAAAATTAAAGTTCAATAAGAAAGGGGAGGGTGCAATAAACAACTATTAAAAGAGAAGTGATTGAATGCAAGCTTTTAACGCCATCGTATAGTGTTTATAAATTATATTTGGAGAAGGATAAACAAATCGTCTGGGTGGTGTAGTCGGTTATCACGCTAGTCTCACACACTAGAGGTCCCCGGTTCGAACCCGGGCTCAGACATCTGAAAATATTTGTTTTTATTTTGTTTTTGGCTTGGCAAGATGCAGAACATAACAACAAATGGAGTTTTCCCAATTGTTCAATTTTTACTGTTTTCATCATGAGATGTTTTGGTTCATGTTAATCATATTGTGATGGCCTAAAAGCCCCAAAAAAACCCCCTTAATTCCTCTCCTTTGTAATTTTTGTGGGATTTGGAGATAAACGCTTCAAAAATTATGTATACATCAACATAATTAAAGTTGCAGATTGCAAAGCCTACTAGATTGTAATGTTGCACTCAAAGCCAACTATCTACTTAAAAACAAGACTCAGAAGAGCCAAAAGTATGACAAGGTGACATATACATTGATGAAAAATAATCCTCTATACTTTTATATTTACAAATCTCAACCCTGAGGTTATTGTAATGCATCATTTAGATTTCAGAAAGTGCCAAGAAACTTATAGGTCAGCAGACTCGTGAGTTTATGTATAGGCGGCTGTATAAGAGTTTGGAGATGATCCTGACTGAGTATCTCATCCAACTAAGACTTAGGCGGACCATTTTGAAACTGCTGCTCAGGCTGGATCTTTCCTTTTGCAGCAAGCCGCGCTTGAATTAGTTTTTCTCTAGCAAGAGCCTCCCGTACATTGGTTTGAACTGACTTACAAAGGTCATCAAGGGCAAGCATTGGAAATGGCTCCTCAATAAGAACACCCACCTGCTATCAATTACCCTATTAGAGCATGCATCATCTACCAATAAGAGATCAAGGAGAGGTAACACATATAACAGAGTAGCAGATAGGTTCTCTGAAATCTTCTGCCACCGGCTTTCAGGAATCCAGTTCATTTAGGAGAATGAGGAGTATGGGACTAAAATTCACTTTCAGAATTCTCACAATCTGCTTTGAACAATTTTTGACGGTCTATATATGTTTTAGAGTAGTAAAAGCAGGCGTTCCAGAATGAAACATACATGAATGTATGATTGGTTTGAGAATGACAATTAAAAGGTGATGGCACACACCATTTCTCTCATTCAGCTTATACCAAGAATGACAATTAAAAGGCAATTTACTTTGCCTGTGCCTGATTATCTCAGTCGTATTAAAGAAAATTGTTGACAAACACAGCATTGAAACAAGGAAAAAACATATATGTTAGAAAGCAGGCAGAGAAAGGAACATACTTCTTCAATGCAGAACAGAGAAGCAGCACTAATAAAAGTAGCAGGAACCACAATCCAGTGGCAGTCATCCCAAAGTATGATAGGGAGAGTGAGATGCCAGAGGACTAGAAACCTTGAAGTCAAGCGCGTATATGAGAGGGGGATGGGAGTACCAATTAGTTGTTCACATACGCCAATCCCTTCATGGAAACAAGAGATTTTTGATTGCTGTATAATGATCAAGTCATGTAAGATACTGATTGAGTTTCTTCATCCATAAAGCTCATATAACGAAAATAGTAATTTGAAACTGTGATATTAATCTAGGAAGGGATTACCAACATAATTCTCCTTGAGTCCTCCAAATTTAGCAATCGAAGGCTCTGGGAGATGAACTCAATAATGCAGCTGGGTCGATGTTTTGAATTCAAAACAACTAACAGATCATCTAATTCAAGCAAATTTTGGAGGTCCTGTCTGATATCTGAGCCATAAACGACATGACACTGCATTTAAAAGTTAACATCTATCAATTGATTGTGCTACCAATATCAATGTGATCAAATAATAGTTCCAGAAATGAAAAAGGCACAGAATCAGGTTTTCTTCAGCACAGAAAAATCAATGAAACTAAAGGTAGGTTCTAGCTCATGTTAAAAAATTATCTGAGCATCTCTCTACCAATTACACATTTACATTGGGCCTTCAAATAATGCAAAGGATTCCAAAATTATAAACCATTGCTAAAATGCCCTACCATTGAACTAACTTGTCTAATTGGAACAACCAACACTCCCAATATTATATTAGTACACAATGAAAACTTTCTGGATGTTACATTGATTTCATTAAATTCGAGTCCTCCGAAACTATCCTTACAAATTTGTTTTCAATCAGCAAATCTGATGAACTTGCAAATATAAGAAGGCATGCTAAAATTTGAACAATTAACATCGAAAAACTGAAATTCACAAACCTTCAGTGCAACAGGAAAGGCCACAATATACTGCAAAAGTGCCTTCTTCAGCTGTGCATCACCCGAATTTTCAACTGCGAAAATGATCTGCCTTGCGAAATCATTAGCCCCTGCAATCACCTTAGTCCAAGCCTTCCTCCCTTCTTCAAACCTTGAATAAGAAGCCTCTGTCCTGAACACCAACAACAGCGCCAATGCCGGTGCTGTCAGCTGGTACGGCAAAGTTGAGGACCTCAACACCGGAAAAAACCCCGGAAGCCAATTCAATGAAACCGCTGAATTGTAGCTCGCAATCACCACTGCCACTAAAGTAAAAGCAATGACTGGTGGTATCAAAGACAAGATTACCCTTGACGAAAGGCTCGTAAGAAAGTGCCGGAGATGGCGGTAAGAGCTTCTGTGATGAACCCATTTCTCATGGTCGTAAAGGGTTCTGTTCTGTCTGAAGCCACGCTCTTTTATGCTGTCTGCCCAGTCAGGTATGATCTGGAGTATTGAGATTGCGGCTTGTATTGGAGAGGAAGATGAAGATGATGATGATGGTGGGTTTGGGGTTGGGGAGGGTGAGCAGCAGAGGACTTTGAACTTGAGGGTTTTAGGTTTGGAGGGAAGGGTTGGAAAAGTGTTTGGGGTAGAGTATTTGCATGAGAGAGAGATGTTGGTGGCGGGTTTGATGGGGTTTACGGGTTGTATCAGCATTTGTAGGAGTTAGAGTTTGGAGGAGGGAGAGGGAAGAAGAAAAGGGCATGTTAGGGTTTCACAGAGAGTGTGTGTGAAGAGTGTTAGCTAAGTTGAGAGGGAGAAAGTAGATGAGTTAGTTAAACAACGGTTATATGTGAAGGAGGTTTTTACACATGTCCAAAAATCTGATACTAACAAAAGTGAGTGTGCTAGTGGGACCCAATATCAGTGACAGGCTCATCTGAACCGTTCATTTGAATACCCCGCCATGAACAACCTCCACACCATCCAACACATTGCCACAGCATTACCTATCACTTATATAAAAATCATATTTATTAATCCTTTTTATCTCAGTTCTTGTTTTCTTTATGTCAACTTCTTAAATTTCAAAGCACTGTGCAGATTGTCAAGATGAGGGGCATTTGAGCTTCAGGTGACCCAAGAATCATATCCATACTGAGTTAGGTTTTATCTCAGCAGCAAGGAGAAGATCATACATGAGACAAAACATGAACTATCTTCTGCAAAAGGAACACAGGGTCCAAATATATCACCGCATACAACTTACAAGAACAGTATAATCATTGTCAAAACCATTATCTTTCTATACATTGTTAACTGCCTATTAAACTAAGGATGTTCCTTAGCACTGTTAGGGGCCAGCTTTTCAATTTCTTTTTCAGGTTGCCTCTTTGCTCCAAAGATGAAGTCTTTCACAGAACTTTCAGCAGACTGTATCGCCCTCTTAACCTGCCATCACAACTTCGTGCAATTAGTATTTGAAACAGTTACCGTACAACAAGTATTAACAAAACCAATATTTACCAAAAGAAACTATGACAATCGCCAATTGGGAACCTACTAACAAATTGAAAGTTTTCTAAGACAGTAAAAAAGAACATGAACAGAGGAAAGAATCTCAGCTTTTCATAACCACTGATTCAATTAAATTACAAAAGGCATCCTGCCTTATATCAAAAGAAGAAACATGCTTTACATTAAACAATCTAGTCTTTAACTACCTAATACCTCATCACTAATCTCAGCCATAATCTGTTGTAAGTGGAGCCTCATCACACTACACTTTCAAAGGCTGATATACTATCCTTACGGAAACAACAAACTTCCATTATGTGTGACAGATGATATATAACTTGTATAAATATCAATACAAACAATTTTTTGCAGCCCTGAAAGCCATAGTCCTGGGATGCTTATGGTTAAACCGTCTTTGTCAAAATAACACTCTTGCTGTCGTTTGTTCTCTCTTAGTCTCTAATGATATCCTAGAGAAATTCCTCTACTATTCTGACTAAGAGGTGCCTCTTTTAATGACTGCACCTATTTGTAACTGCAAATTTTTCACTATTCCATTGAATATCGTATAGTTCTAATTTCATGAACAAGTCATTCTTTAGTACACTACTCAATGTTCCGAAAACAAGGCCAGCATAAGAGCACTCACATCATATTTTTCTACCTCTTCATCATGAACAGTCAAATCTAGATGATAGAAAAGTTTCTTTGGTCATGAACAACCAGATGTAGATAATCAAATACCAAGACATATATGAAACCCAATCTTTAGTCTTGCTTTCATGGGACCTAACCATGTTAAGTATATTGCAATATAAATAAAACGTCTTTGCTACAGGTTAGTGACTAAACAAGCAGCACATTAAACAGCAACAAAAGCAAAATCGATGCAAAGCAAAAACAAGATGCCCAACTAGCCCAATTGCAAAACCCAAGTTTAGTCCACAACTAGGAACTACAGATCAACCCCCAAAATCGAAAGACCCCAAACATTGTGAACTAAAAGGGCATATCATACATCTCAGAATTTAATTAGCTGCAAAACAAACAAAGAGAAAATTGTAACACCAAGACTAGGTTTTCGTTTTCCCCTTACCATTTCTCAACAAGATTCAATAGTAATTTTGGGAAAAGGAAATCACGGGAAGGAAAAAGAACATACAGGGTCGAGAGCATTGGGTTCAGAGCCATAGTCAGCAGTCAAGAGGAAATAGCCAGCAGTAACGGTGGCCACCATAGTTGTCCTCCTCACCAGCTTATCAGTTTGTGAGTTCATCTTGGTAGTTTTGCTTTCACTTGGATTCTCTGAAAGAAAAAAGGGTTTAAAGTTACAGACTTTGACACTTGGTTTTAGAGAAGAGGTTTTTCAATTTTGGGAAGGGAGAAAAGAAAGTAGAAGGCGGCCTTTGAAGAAAATGGGTTTTATATAATATCAGAAACTACCCTTTGGTTTGCAGTTTATTACACATTGTCCCAAGAGACTGCTCTGCAGTTATTACTTCTTGACCATCTGGGTCTCTTATGTTTAACCAGTTAAGCTGACACTGACAGCCAAACACACCGCAGATATTTCTCATCCTGCAAATCCAGAAGCCTAAAGTTCCTGTCTTTTTTCCTTTATTTGGTCACAGAAAGCCAATAGTTCCTCTCAGCTCTTCATCAATGGAAGATCCCAACCCAGCCCAGCCCACAGTCACGCAAATCGCGAACCCCCCAAACTCTGAAGAAGTTCTCGCTCCACAGCCTCCCCCGTCTTCTCTTCCTCCCAAGACCAAGAAGAGACCCCTTGACAATGATGCCCATATCTCCAACTCCAGCTACTTCAAGGTTCGCGCCGTCCTCAAGGAGATTCGTCCTCATTTTCTTGAGGTACATTTCAGACCCATTTGTCAAAGTTTGTATCTTGGTCTGAATTTGTTGTAAATTTGGAGAATTTATGTGATCTGGGGTTTTCTTTTTATTGAATTTGCTTTTTAACATGGTTACATTTTGATTTGAGGTACATTATTCGGGCTTGTTTGGATTCACAATTTGCTTTCTTGAGCATTTCTAATGATTTCTTTCTTTTTATTGTTCCGTCTCTTTCCTTTTTCTTTTAAAAATTTACAAATGTATAATCTTTAATATATTTTTTTTGTGGGTGAAATCAAATGTATAATCTTTGTCATTCTGCGCCCTTCAACTTTTGTTTTTTGGGGTGCCCTCAGCAGCTTTCGTAGGAAAGTTGGTATAAATGGTGATTTTGATGGAAATGACTGTACTTGTTAAACATGTACCATTGATTTCTGCTTTTGATTTTGTTTTTATTTTACAGGGTCTGTTGCTCTTTTAATTTTTTTGTTGCACAGGAAATTTAATATAAAGTGAAGGATGAAGACAAGAAATTTAAGGTTCAAGTAAATTGAGGTGTTGTTAGCTTGCGTTAAGTGAAACTCTCAAAAGTAGGGTCTATTTGCTACCATTTCTGTTTGTGTTTGATTGTTTTAGGCTCAGATGAAGCTATATGCCATGGGTAGAATTAGGAGATCATGGCTGCTGTAAAGTACATTAGGTTCTGTAGAGACTGCTGGGGATAGGCCATTGGGTGTTAGCTTGGTTCTTAAATTGTTGGTCTATCAAAGTTGTGGATGTAATCACTCTCAATTAATTGCTCTACATCCTAATGTTTTGAACTGCTTCTTTTGTTTGCTACATTATGTGAAGTAAGGAGGGATAACTTTTTGTCTTTTGTTATCTTGAAGGTTCTCCGGACCCCTGACTTTCGATTATGCAAGGCGGCCAATGACATCCAAGAACGTAAGCTCGTGAAGATTTTATTTTATTTGTCATTTTAACACAGTGACACATAGGTATCCCTTGATTCGTATGAGAAAGCTAACCTGATTTATTGTGTCCAACTTCCATTCACGCCCTAACTTGATTTATTAATTCTTTGTGTTGATGAAAATGTAGAGTTTCATCCTTGAAACTTAGTTTGCCGTATTTTCCTTGTTGGCCACCAAATTCTAGGATATCGTTGTCGTAATATTCAGATGGACTTTGGCCTCCTTTGTGAGGAGACATCTGTCTTGCTCATCTCTTAAATTCACACATGGTTTTATCCTGAGTTTTGAATTTCTTGAGCTCCATGTATGCCCATTTTTGTAGTTTTTGTTTTCTTAATCCCATTGGGAACAATTTAGAATCCCAGGTTTTCAATGACGGAGCCAATTGCATGGGAGACATTGCTTATTACTTGTCATATGATGGGCAAGTAGAAAGTAACTTTTTATGGATTGATTATGAGATGTATATTCAACCCTGTATGTTGCAAATTGCAGAAGTGAAGCTTCTGATGGAACTATACAAACAGATGACAGCAGAAGCAGTTTCCACAGCAAGATGTAAGAATGTGCCAGAAGGCCAGCCTTTATCAGGTGAAAAGTCCCAAGATACTAGAGCTTCTGGAAAACCATCAGAAAACAAATTTCCGTCAGGTATATCCAGCGAGAAGGCTGAAGATGGTCAAATTCAAGGGACATATGTTGTTGGAGGTTCAGCTTTTGGCTGGAATTTCATCACCTTTTTAGGCAGTGAACCAGTCTACTGTGGGATAACAAAGGAGTCATTTCGAGCTAATGGGAGCAAAGTAACAGTTCCATAATCCTACTGTTCTATGGTTTGGTTGAAGTACATTAAGTAGGGATATAAAATGATCTCTGATTCTTGCTATCTCAGTATTGCTTGAATGGTAGGGCTAGCAGAGATTCTTGAACCATGCTCCATGATATTAGTATAAAAGGGATTCATTGATTGTTTGATAAATGGAAATGGGTGTAATGTTTTAATTTGAATGAGTTGTACACTATGATTCTTCAAAAGGGATCAGTGAAGATGATGTAATATTCCGATTTCCGATAAGTTTGGTATGTAATTTTAGACTTGAGATTAAGAATGAAATTTGTGACGGTAATCCCAGAAAGATGGGTTGTTTGAGAAGTGTCTCTGCTGAGGATGCAGTACTATTTTCTTAATGCCAGGCTATTCATCTGCTAGCACATCAACCAAAAACGGTTGGGGGTGGCCAGCACATGCAGGCCTAGGTGCAAACCCAGACCAAGGTAAGCCACCTGCTGCAATATAATTTTTTTCTTTGATCCGAAATGCTGCCATACTTCTTTCCATTGTAGCCCAATTGCGTAGAAGTCTTTAGAAAACGATTGGGTGTCCATAGAATCACCCTTGGCATAAGGAGAACAAATAGACAAAGTCAGACTCAATCACAAGCTGAGAAATATCCCTATCTCAAATAACATTAAAGCTTTTCTGATACAAGAGAACTGAGTGCCTCACCTTTAACAAAGGGACACCTGAAATTCACAGATTGTTCAGTCAAAAAGATCACTTCAAATGTGAGCTTCTTTGTCTCGATCATCTTCATGATTTTAGTTAGCATGGACGGAAGTTGCTTATTCAAACTCTTTTGTGGATTGGTGGTGGTTTTTTTCTACAGACGAACCCTTCCCTTGGATTCAATTCAAAAAATAACAGTATATACTCTTGAGTTAAATCAGCATAACCACAAGAGTTTTTTGTTTTTGTTTTTTCTTCTCTCGTGGTTTGCTTGGTTCCTCTCTCTCTCTCTCTCTCTCTCTTCATTTACCCGTATTTCATCTCTTGCATGCTCTGTCTTCAAATGGATCACATGCTGCCCATGAATGAATTGGCTCAATGTGAAAAAGGCAATGGTTTTTTCCCCTTCCTATTCCTATTTTGACGGCAGCAACAAACAGACCAAATTGTCTTCAATTTCAATCATCATTTGATGCCGCATGACTTGCTGTGGTTGCTACATGGGATCCCACTAAAACTGCATAAGATTTTACTACTATTTTGTCAGGACGAATGAGTGGTTGCGTGCAGCATGCTCCGGAAGAGATTGACCCTTCCCCGAGTCAGTCCAGTCGGAAAGGGAAGGGCTCGCTGTCTAGACAATCTCAACACTTCCCACTTTCACCCATAATCATCGCTTAGACTGGACTCTTTTAACACGCGTTCTTTAAATGCACACTGCCTTTTCTTAATTGGTCTGTCAATTTTTTATTATGTTTGAACTTATTGATGTGTATGAGTTCCTATCGTGTATTGGGGGAACAAACAAAAAGAAAGACGGATTAGTCAATGAAATAATATATGGAATTTTCTTTCTTTATGTAAATTTCATATTAAATGACGAAGAAAATTCTAGAGGAAGACAGATTAGTCAATGAAATAATATATGAAATTTCCATTTTTTCTTTATGTAATTTTCATATTAAACGACAAAGAAAATTCTAGAGAAAGACAGATTAGTCAATGAAATAATGTATGAAATTTCCACTCTTTCTTTATGTAATTTTTCATATTAAATGACTTAGAAAATTCTAGAGGAAGACAGATTAGTCAATGAAATAATGTATGGAATTTATGCTCTTTCTTTATGTAATTTTCATATTAAATAACAAAGAAAATTCCAAAGGTAGACTTATCAGAAAAGGGTATACATGTGCTCATAAATGAAAAAGTAAAATACATGTCCTCCTCCTTTGTTCTGAGTGGGACAAAGTGGGTGTTTATTAGACTTGAGGAAGGCTTCTACCAATCAATCAATGAAGACTAGAGGAAGACTTTTACCAATCAATCAATGAAGACTAGAGGAAGACTTAAATACCAATGAAGGCTCTCTTTTGGTTGGGGGAACGTGTGTGCGGGTGTTAAAACTCATTGGAGAAAGACTAGAGGACTATACCACATCATGTGGTAGATAATGTGTCAATTTGCAAATAACTTTAGTAGCAAGTGAACTGTACTAGCCACCTACAACTTTAAGCCTGATCATTCAAATAATGCTTGCATCCTCTGTTTTACCACGGCTGCTAGCATAAAGAAAGCTGATGCTTTTGTTGCCTCTTCTACCTCCATGCGGCATTGCTTTGTCGGGCTTTCTCCCATTGTAGAGAATTCCCCACTATCGCCTTCGGTGGGAGTATGGGTTGTGTCTCAGTTAATGTGGCTGATCTTTTTAATTGCCTTAGTTAGCTTTGCCATACCAACTACCTAATCAGACACAGGGCCCCTCATCGAAGAGAAATTTACTAGCAAAACTATATAAGACTTTTAACAGCTGTCACATATGATTATGTGTGTTAAACCCCTTTCAACCTTAACCCTATAATTACACAGAGTAACAAGTATTATTTATTGAATTATCGAAACAGTACAATATTCTCAACAACTCATTCTTGATACAATAATTGCCTAATATAGCTGTAAGCTCTCATTTACCAATTCGGTTAGAAACTAATTTCTTAACTAATCAATTAATAAACTGACTATGCCAGCTTATCACTAATCCAGCTCAACAAT